ACTATCAAGCTGAAGGAGACTGCCACCAGACAAAAGGCCGCACCATCTTGGTGTTCATGTCTACGATATAATTATTTTTATTTGTATATAGAAATTTTTTTCTCATAATAGCTGCCTAAATTAGTTTACAAGCTACATTCATTATCAAAACAGGTGGCAGGTACTATTTACACACTTCTTTCACCTTATCAGATACGGCAAGAGAAATTTGATTTGCTTTTACCTCTTTCATAAAATAACTTCGGCCTTTCTCGCCAGCCAACTCAGTCCATTGCTCATAATTGGCACCTGCATTCGCTGCGAGCAAATGCTTAGTCGAAGGGTGACGACGCGAAAAGTGGTTGCCGACGTCAGACAGGTTGGTGGGACGGCAAGTCGGAAGGCCTTGTTGACCTCGTTGGTGGGATGGCCTGCTAAAGCAGCAACACTTTCAAGACGACACTTTGTCATGCAAACCAACTCCACTTGGTGGCTGATGCGTAAACTCGTTTGGATCGACCTCGCCGGATTCCGCACGATTTTGGACAACTCGATTCTTCAAATACGACTCTGCTGCCGCAGTCCTCGAGAACTTTTCTTCGCGTTCAAGTGACTGCATGCTGAGCTTTAGTTGGTCTTAGAGGCATCAGCCGCCCTGGAATTCGCTCAAAAAGATGGCAAAATATAAGGCACATTCAAGCCGGTCGCTCTTCGTATCCTCCTCGAACAACTTCCACCCGGAACGTCCTGAAGTTGACTTGGTCCAGGGCAGAAAAAGCAGTGATTTTCTGCTCTTGAATCGGTTGAACTCGAGATCGTGAGGCCGAAGGTGATCAAGACCCCGAGTTCGGCTTCTCACTCCGCAAAGTCGTCAGAATAGTCTTATCGCGAGAATGGCTTCATCATCGCGGCTGTGACCTCGGCCACTCAAACACCATACAGAAGTTAGGCCCAACTTTGCTCTTTTATCGGCTCGCTTGTATCCTTTTCTGGCAATTCGGCCGTGCTTTCAGGCCGCCTTCAGAGAATTTACTCCACGCGGTGCCTACTGTCCTTGTTGTCATGTTTCCCTCCTATGTCGGACTGTGATCTAGACGAAGAGATGACAGCAAATTGCACGGTTTGCGCCTCTTTCGAAGCTTGAATTTCACTTCATCAGTCGACTGAAACATTCATGTTTCAAATGGACCGAAGTTCCTCACTGGACCTTGAACCTTAATCCTCAATCATTCCCTTCCTCCTTCTTCTGCCGACAAGCGGAAGTGAAATTATGCACTTTCTACGAATATATCTTGATTTATTTATACACCAGGATTCGATGATATAATGCTTGGAGGAAGTAAGTTTACGAGACCTTTAGTAAATATTGAATGAAAGCTCCATTTAGCCTGGGTCACAAAGGGTGATGAAGGATTGATAGTGGACTTTTTTCCCACAATCAAATGAGTAGACTTCACTTTTAAATTGAATTTCGCATAGCTTTGCTTCAAAAAAAATCTTCTAATCTCGACTGGACTAGAATGAAGTTTGGACCTCGCCTGTCTCGCATCACCACATCCAGCAGAATTCGAATATGGACAGTTTAGTATGATTGCCGATATGGCAAACTTGTACTTTGCAATTACAATCGACTGCAG